GTGGGCTGAGACATTCGTGTAGATGGTTGGCTGTCCAGGTATCAAACAGTCGTATCTAGAAGAAGATTCGATGCCCACCTGAACCCAATTTTCTCCTTCCTTCACATGCAAGAGTCCTCCAAAATTTTCCTTTAGTGAAATAAAGAAAGTATTCTCAAATTCAATACTAAACGAGCGAGATGAGGGAATAACAACAACAATAAAGAGGATCTCCATACATAGCACGTGATATTCTCTCCGTTCAGGTTATCTGTGGCACACATGTGAGTATACTTGATTGCAGGGTGAAGACTCTTGCACATCTCATGTGGATAAATGCCAGCAGTGACCGTCTGGAGAATGGGTGGCTGGTAAGGCTCGTCAGGATCTCTGATTCCCCAACCTGGATGACAAACAACTAAGTTTTTCAGAGCCTTTTCACTTCCATTCGTCCCTCTCTCTTTTCTTCTCTCCCACTTTTTGTATTTCCGAATCCTTCGACGGACGACAAGCCAGAGGACACGGGAGCTCATTGAGTTAAATGCGATGCCTACTAATTCTTTGCTGCTGTCATTGTTTGCTACTAGAACCGTCCCTCATATGAAAGCTCCGAAGCCTGAAAATTCCATATATAGATATTTTCATGAATTGCCTCTCACCTATGACGGTGGCCGAGCGATTCCGAAAGTCTGTCGCTTTATCGGGGAGGCGGACGATCTTGAGATCTTCCATGCATGGAACGTCTATTTCAACGACAGCGAGATCGTTGTACATGTAGAGCTCATTCCCGTCCCTGGCGTCCGCGAAACCGGGATGAACTTTGACGCTTTTGACTCGGAAATCTCGATGCTCCGATTCCATCACCGTATCAAAGTCATGTTCTCCGACACGGAACCGGATGTAACTCGAGAGTTCTTCCATCCTGTCAAGAGGAAGACGAATGAGAATCATTAGTATCATTAATAATAAATAAATAAAAGCAAAAGAGGATCGAGTAGTAAGAGAAGACGTACGAGTCGGATATACAATGAGCTGCAGTAAGGACGTGGACGGGAGTGATTAGGGATCCAACACACACAAGTCTATCCATTCCATACTTTTCGATTCCAGCCACCATCCAGGGAAATTCTCCCGGCTTCGTGCTGTTCCCTGCAACGAACCGACCCGGGGACGAGAAGCTCCTACTCATCGGGCAGCATATCGTCTCCCTTCTCCGAATGAAACACGGGAAACGGACATCATCTTATTGCCTGGTCTCTTCGGTTCCATAGATGGAAGGGAGGGGAAGAGAGACCTTTCCTTGACATAGGAGCAGACTTCACGCCTAAGGGATAGTTCTGCGCTAGGGATGGTCCAATGGCATCTATTCTCATCTTCACAGTAGCCGAGTTCTCCTTCATGAGTGCACAACTTCTGCTTCTTTACTTCCTGACGATTGATAGGAGCCTCTCACGCAACATGTTGCGGCAATGAATGAGTTTATAAAGCATTTATTCGAGCTCGTTGGGATTCTGCACTAACCTGAATAGTAGATGCAGGAAGGGCGACGAAAAATGCCAAAAGAAGAGAGATGTCTTCATGGCAGAATGACGTTTCCTAATATTCTCTCAGCCTGGGTTCTCGATTCCTTGAAAATCCGAAATTCCTCGAGTGAGAGCGATCCTAGAGGACCTGTACCTTTCTATGCCTGATATCACTCCTAATCTCAATTTTTTATTTTATCGAAAAAGGAAAAAAGTCATCTTGTAGTGATGCTTGCGCAACGGGGCAACTTCGACGCATGTTTGCTTTGACGCGTGCTGTTTATTGCCTATTTCCGCGTTTGAGGGCGGAGTTTACTGCCTAGCACTGTCCGATAAAGCAGATTTATTTTAGGAAATTACTCTATTATCGAAGAAGCGATTTTCGAACGGCGCCGACACTATAATTCTGCGATATATTTAGACCCCGGTTCCAGTCTCAGATAGAGCAGGTCCTCATTTCCCGATTTTTATTTTTATTTTTTCCGCATCTCGCAACGGACGGGCTGAACGATCTGTCTCGTGCACAATTCTCCTCATATTAAATGGACATTTTGCCTCCCACCGAGGAGTCCTCGCAGACGGAATGAATCCTCTCGACATCTTTAACGATGAACATCTTCGAGAACGATTCCACTCGGAGAGCTTTTTGCTCCTTGCTGGAACCTGACACTGCATCGGGGGAATAACGTCGCCATTGGAGTGACTCCATTTCAAAAAGTCATGAGAGATTGCAACGAATACTATCATGGACATCATCAAAATCAGGATCGTGAATCTGGGAAAATATTGGGTTTTCAACTCCATTAAATTTCCGTGAAAAGACAGCAATAATCCCAATGTCAAAAGTGCGTGTTTCCATTGGGAATGGGAGATGAAATCGTGGAAAAGCAAGAACCAATAGTGATATCGAAAGTTATTTAACAATCTGAAAGGCCAGTGGAACTTTGCACTATTTTGTATCATGTGATGAAGAGATGCAGCAATTAAATTGAAATTCTTGATGATATCCTATTTCTTCCAGAAAACACTGAAGGTATTTGACATTAGAGGGAAATGGAAATTCTTTAGAGTTTTTCCTCTTTTTGATGGATCTGGGGCTACACCTTCTTCTGACTCCTTCAAACGATCAAAGACAGTTAAAAGTCGGTCGAGATTGGATTGAAAGATTGAAGAAAACACAATTACATCATCATGGTACTGAACTAAGCATATACCTAGTTCTGCCATAAATACTGTTACAAGATTTACATGTTCCTTGCATTCTAGCAAAAGAAGCTAGAAACTTGTAACCTAGTAATCGTGCAGTGTATTATCTGCCGTATTGTTTGGTAACATTTTGGCTGTTGTGTTGCGTGCAGTAAACANTACTGTTACAAGATTTACATGTTCCTTGCATTCTAGCAAAAGAAGCTAGAAACTTGTAACCTAGTAATCGTGCAGTGTATTATCTGCCGTATTGTTTGGTAACATTTTGGCTGTTGTGTTGCGTGCAGTAAACATGGAGTGGGGTGACAAAGAGAATCGCATGGCAGTGATTGCCCTGCACAAAGTGGGTCAGAAACCTGCAATTATTTCAAGACTTTGCAGCCACTTGGAATCAGTCGGCAGTTTGTTTAAGGAGCTATCAAACATTACAATGATACTCAGGGGGTACTTTACCGCCCTAGATCTGGACGTCCACCCACTGCCAGAACACCACGAGTCATCAAAGAAGTTAGCAACAGGATTCAACGAAATCCTCAGCGCAAGCAGAAAGTGATGCCAAGGGAAATGGCCATCTCGACTAGAAGCACGTATCGGTTGATTAAATCAGACCTATGGATGGGTGCTTACCGAAGAAGCACCCGACACATGCTGACTCCGTCTCTGAAAGAAATCAGGAGGCCGCGATCGAAAGTGTTGCTGCAGAGGTACGTGCAAAACAGACACCACAAAATCCTCTTTACTGATGAAAAAATATTCACTATTGAAGAAAAATTCAACTGGCCAAATGGCCAAGTGTATGCCCACAACTCTTGGGAAGCTGCAGAAGTCATCCAGGAGGTGGAGAGAAGTCACCATACTGCTTCTGTCATGGTATGGGGGGGGGGTGTGAGTTATGAGGGTGTCACCAAGCTGCATTTTTGCAAGCAAGAAGTGAAGACATCAGCCAAAGTGTACCAGGAATAAGTCTTACAGAAGTCAGTGAAGCCATTCAGCTAAACAAAGTTCAATGGGGACAACTGGATCTTCCAGCAAGACTCCGAACCTGCTAACAAAGTTAGGACGACGCAGGAGTGGCCAGCCAGCAATATCCCCGAGTTCATCAAAGCCTCCGATTGGCCATTTGGGAACCCAGAGTTGTAGCTGACGGCCAACCACAGAAGACATCCAAATGTTGAAAGTCTCCAGCGAGCCCTTGCAAAATCAGCAGCCAATATCCAATGGAAGTGGTGCGTGCTGCGATGGATGAGTGGTCTCATCGTTTAAAGTCATGTGTGAAGGCCAGGGGTGGACATTTTGAATAATGTTTCTGTAATATGTTAGTAATTATGTAGGGAAATAAATGCTGTTAGCAAACACAGCGTATGTTTTATATGAAAAGAGTTATTTCAAAAAAACCTTGTAACAGCATTTATGGCAGGACTAGGTATATATCCCACCTGAGAGAGGAGAGTACCTGATCCATTGAAACGTGGCTAATCCGTTGCACAACCCAAATGGCGTTGTTAGGTATTCGAAAAGACCAAATGGTGGGTTAAAAGCAGTTTTTTTTGTTATGCCCTCAGGGACCATAATTGCTGGAAATTGAGACCCATTAAACATATCTGCCAGCTGCAAAAATCCAAGAGCGACTGAGGATATGCCTTTGTCAGCGACAGAAGCACATATTTCTTTAGCCGGTTGAATTTTCAAATCAAACAGAGCATGTACAGAACTGGAGCCTTTGATAATTGACGGTTCTCATCATTTGAGTGCACTAGGATCCTCTGGGTATTGGTGGTTTTAAATCCTAACCTTGCATGACCTTCTCCCGTTTCTTGAAAAATATATATTCTGTGAAATATCTCGTGTAAACTTCTCAGGGTGGACGACAGGAGTCAAATGCCGTGCTTTCTGATGGCATACGCTGGCAACGAAAGCACTTTCTAAACGCTCCCACAATCTTGAGCTAACGCTACGGACTCGTGCATGATTACGCGCTAGTATCATAGAAACCCAATGAGACCGATCCCAACTAACTTGAGGAAAAGGGAGTCGTGTCAAGATGGAACTGCAGACGGGTGGGCGCGAGACTCGCAGCGGCAATTTCTCATGGCGCTGCTTCCCTCTCCTCCGTTTCCCACTTTGGAGAAAATGCAGCTGATGTGATGACATCCTGCACGAATTCGGGTTTATATATAACTTAGGTATTAAGAAGGCCTCGCATGCATGTGATTAATCATGTGTATAGCTCCAACTGCGTCATACTTTCACTTTTACTAACAAGAATGTCGCATCCGGTAATAATTAGGGCTGTCACGATAGATCGATGCATCGATACCACTATTGATAGTTTTTTCGACCATCGCGATGCATCGGCAATATGTTTTTAAGGGAAAATGTCTCATTGGATTGAGGCAAGTACTGTACAATACAGTCCGTCCGGGCGGGAAAGGAAGAAGCGGCGTGACCCGCATGGGCTTGGAATTTCTAATCACAATTATATTCTGGAAATGCTGGGACTGACTATATTAAAGACGGGAAAGGAAAAAAAAAGTTCAATCGGAGACAGCAAGTGGGAAAGGAGAGGTGGGGGGGGGGGGAAGTCCAAGAATATTTTTTTAATCGTCAGTTTCAGTCTCTGGCTCGATCTCATCAGGTGCATGCTGCAGATGTGGACTGTTCTTATACTCCCTTGATTTCGAAACGTACATTGGTTAATCCCCTCTCTGTATTCCTGTCTATCACTTAAGTATGCAGGCTTAACTTATTTAAATTTAACTTGCCTTGAGCGTTTTATCTCTACTTAAGGTGATATCAAAGTGAACGACATGGACGTTGCTTATTCCAGGCCTAGTCCCGATGTTTCGGCAATCGCCGGTATGGCACCATCAGCAGGTTTCCTATCTGCCGATGCCGATGTCCAAAGACAGGGTAGAACGAAGAAAATTAGGACTGTCCTCATGCATCCATCGATGAACGGATGTCATTTTCGATAGTTGGAGCCATGGTAGGTTTCATTACTCCTTGCGAAGGTCACACATCCCCTTGCACCCCCTATCACAAGCGTGAGTTTATGGAAGCCGGATAGAGGTCCGCGCTCCGATCGCGGTGAGGAAAGATGGAATCCTCCGGGGCAACCCCCCCCCCGATGCATCGATACGCTATCGATAGTTTAGGTCCATGCATCGATGCTTTGAAAACTGCTATCGTGAGAGCCCTAGTAATAATATGGTATAGCTTCGTGCCCGAATTCGATATGTTGTACGCAACTTTCTATACTGTATGAGTACTTTTATGCGATTCATGATAGTTGTTTATTACTAAGAAAAATTTATAATTACGGCAATTATCGAACATTTCTACACGTTTTCATCAAATATTTACCCGCCCCTCTCATGCATCTCAGTTGCAGCTGCTGTCCGTCCACGTACCAAGTACTGACAAAATATTCAATGCAATCGAAATTGCTGCTCGTTCCGTCATCGAAGAGACCGGCCAACGTACGACTCGAAGAAGCGACTGAGAAACTGTCCA